ATGTTGAGGGGGGGGGGGGGGAAGGTTTAAAGAAACGACGTCATTGAGCATATATTACTATTAATATACTAATCTTGACTTTCTTAATGTAATATAAAAAGACATTTTAAGATAAATGTAGAAAAATATATATTTCTGTTTATTATTACCATTATTATGTATGAATATATATTATGTCCAACACAAATAAAAACATTTAAAATAAAAAAAATTAATACTTTTTTTTTTATCATCTTGCATAACCTTTGGACTTTTGTCATTGACTAGATAGGTAGAGATTAACTAAAAATAACACTTAAAAATAACCATGGTAGCATTAATAACAATTGCAATAGTTACTACAGTTGTTGTAATTATTGCTGTCTTAACTAGGCAATACAGCCAGACTTGACTGATTTTAGACGTTTAAAGTCGTGCTTTCTCTACTGCAGACGAGGCATCGATCAGGAGCTCTCAGATGTGCTGAATGAACTGTGGAAGCTGGATGTGAACCGCATGAAACCTGGAAAAGACTATAAAATCAACCTACAGGTAGGTGGTTGGGAGAGGAGGCATGTTTATGAAGAATACATATATGAATAAGTAAATGCATTGTAATATATTCCACATACGTGATTGCAGGTGACTTTATCAATCAGTCGTTTATAGTGCATTTTTTTCTCACAGGGGAAGGCTGGCTTTGTAGCTGAAGGCAGTAATAATGCCAGGGACAGCGCTAGAGCTCCTCTTTTCTCCTATGTCGATGAAAAGAAGCTCAAAAGCATGGATACTTACGCCCGTAAGTAGCTATAGGCCATTTCTATACTAACATGTAATAACATAGCATGTTTAATAGCATGTTTTTAATTGCATCCTTATACTTTAATGTACTAAAATATTAGTTTTTTAGTTTTCATTAATTACTGATGTGATGCAATGTATGGCAAGAGTGTTTAGACAGCTGTTTTATTTACTTTGTCTCTTCTCAGACTTCCTAAATCTGCTTGACAATTATGAGATGTCTACAGGAGTGACTGAGCATGTGACAAAAGAGGAGCTTCAGGAAAATCACCTTTTCCTGGATGCTATGCTCAAGACAGAGGTCATGAAGGTATCTAATAGCTCACCGATCACTGTTTTTGCCTTGTTATTTAGTAATGTCATGTTTGCACATGTAGAAATGTAGCAACTTAAAGAATTTTAAGTATGTCTACTATTGACTGTGTGACTGACTGAGGTTCCTGACCAGAGTTGGAAAGTAACTAATGCTAAAACTACAAAAAAATGTCGCTGTTTTAAATAATATTTCAGATTTTATGAATATTCATACTAAAGTAAACACTTGTTAAAGCACATTTTTTATATTTATTTATTTATTAAATGTGACATTTATTTATTTATTAACTTGCAAAATGTGGTTTAATGGGAATGGATGGTTTGGATGGGAAGTGGATAGTGAATATGGGAATGTGAGACAAATGTGCAAATGAGCTTTGTAGTACAGGGATGTTGGTTCAAGGAGGAGACTATTACAATAATGTGTAAAGATGACATTCTGCAAATACATGCAAAAACTGTACAAGTGAAGAGAAATATTATATTCTTTCCGTCCTGTTCTGACAGGTTTTGTCTTTGCAGTGTGCCCACAGGTTTTTAGTGTGCAAAGGTCTAGCTCAGTCAGATCCGGCTCAGTTTAAGAGCCAGCTCTATGACATCTGGTTTAAGCTCTATCGCAGGGACAAAAATGGAGGGTGAGTTATAATCCTCCTTTGAACGGGCTGGCATACATCACATAACCTGAACTGGGTTTGTTATATTAGTAACTGACATACAAGATGTTAAAATCCTTTACCATCTTATTGCTTAAAGCCTATGTACTGATTTACATGCTTAGCATTTATACATTAAGAGGTTTTTATTGATCGGCCATCTTCCACTTGTCTCTGAGGCAGTGAAGATTCCTGTGGATTTGAGCATGTTTTTGTTGGTGAAACCAAATATGGTAAAGAGATCATGGGCCTCCACAACTGGGTCCAGTTTTACCACCAGGAGAAACACAATCATGTGGACTACAAAGGATACAAGGCCAGAAATAACAAGGACACGGTATTTCATCATTTTAAATTCATTTGCTAAGGGAAATATAATATGACCAAATTAATATAGCTTTGTTTGCATTACTTCCAATGTTTACATTTGGTTCAATTTCACAGCCGGACGAGGACGATCACGTCTTGAACCTGCAGTTTAGCTGGAATGGCCTGGTGAAGCCGGTGGGTAGTTGTTTCATTGGCGTCAGCCCAGAGTTCGAGGTGGCTCTCTTTACTATTGTCTTCTGTCTGTCTGATGAGCGTGTGACCAAGGTTACAGTGAAGGTAGATGAGTATCTCCTTGAGATTGTGGTGTATAGATTTGGGTGCTCCATTGGAACTTCATATCCCAAAATGATCAGCAGCAACAACCGGGATTTCTAGATCTTACCTGGCACGATTTGGAAAAAAAGAGGCTAACTTGGACAAAATGGGATTGATAATCCAAAAATCACTATTACAGCTTGAGGTTCTTAAATTCTTAAACTTGAACTATTAGTGGGAAATATATGTGACCAATGTTTTAAAACTTTGTCAGATTACAAATTATCTGTCCAATTTTGTAAGGAATTTAGTTTGTACTGCTATAAAATTCTGCATAATGATAGTTATGTGCCAAAAAATTGAAACTCATCAGTTTGCAGTCAGGCCCTTAAAGTTGGTTGATCCTTAAATTGCTTAGAAATGTGTGATTAGCCTATAAACTATATAAACAGCTATTTTGCATTAGATGCACTAAGGTTAATTTCAAAGAATATACACATTTTTACTGTTTTTTAATGCTATGCTAACAGTGATTTATGCATAGACGTTTTGCATAGACCCAATCTAACTGCTGCAAGCTTTTAGAAATCATGTTCTTTTTTTGTTAATCGAGCAAGTTACAAATCAGAAATGAAACACTTATTTGTATTTTATTTTATGAGGCTTAAGCCATCCACACTCATTGTCAATGGAGTGTACTTTTTGAATGACTTGGGCGCTCATCTGCACTAGACGGAGTGGAATGTGGAAAATGGGACTTCATAGATGAAGAATATCACATCCTGGGAACTGTAATGCATAAAATTAATCTGCACATTAATAATTTATCTTATATATATATGTGTGTGTGTGTAAACGATACTTTGTATACTTTAATGTATGTGCTAAAACACTGCTGTTACAGTATGTGCCTTTATGTTTGTTACAATAAAGACCTTTTTCATTCATACAGTATAACATCTTGATGTATTTGTTTATTAATAGCTTTATTTATTGTTTATTCCAGTGCTTAATTCCACATTTAAAATGATTTCTTATTAGTCATTTCTGCAAGAGCTTTTGTAGATTGTTAATTAGTAATTGTAGAAAAGCAGTCTTTGAGTCTTTCAAGTTAAGATGCATATGCATCTTTTCCAAAATTAAATTACTGCTTTAATTCAATATATTTGATAACACTGGGGTTGATGAGCAAAAAAAACATACATTCAAATATAAGCAAAACATTTTGATTTGCATTTCTACTGCAAATTGTAATATCTCGTGGTCAAAGAAAAATATAACCTTTTAAAAGGTTTACAGCATGAGATCAAGACAGCAGATCACATGAAACAAAAAAAGAACACTATAAAACCCATTACTTGTACGATACAATGCTAAATGAATAAAGTGTAACATTAGGAGCAATTATTAATCAGAAGAAATTAAAACAGAAATGATGCGAGACTTGAAACTGTGATTCCAGCAAACCTTTTTGGCTCTGTTTTGTGTCATTGCAGGTGTCTGTATCTGATTAATTTATTTCCAGGACTTCCTGGTGGTCTTGGTTGTCTTAGTTCCTCTTTGATGGTCAATAACGCGGTTCCTCAGAACATTGATGTCATACTTCTGCCTCTTTAACTTTTCTGCCAGCTCAAACTTCTCAGCATACAGTTGACTGAGCCACTTCCAAAGGTCAAGGGCTTTATCACCAAGCTTCTCCTGGTTGAGATGATCGATGTTGAGCAGTTTGCGACGCTCCATCAGACATTTGGTCTTCTTCTCGCGCTCCGTCATCCTCTTGCCCTTCTTCTGATCGACCTTCTGCAGGTAGCCACCGTAGCCCTTGTTAGAAAGGATCTTCTTTTTCCTGGCATCCTCCTCAGCTCGCAGTTTGGCGGCCTCCTCTTCACGCCGTGCTCTTTCCTCGGCAAATCGCGTCTGCCTCTCGCGATCACGCTCTGCTCTGATGCGCAGCTGGTCAGCACGATCAGCCCGACGCCGCTCAATGCGGTCCTTCAAAGCCACGAGGTCATCCTCTTCCTTCTGCCTGGTGGAGAAGTGCAGCTGAATGAGACTCTGCAATTCATTGAAGTCCTTCTCTGCACGCTTCCGGTGGATGTCATCAAAGTCCACCTTCTCTCCTTCAGGCAGCTTTGGTGCCATAATGTTGGGAACAAACATCTTGGGCTTTGGTTTGGTTTCCTCCTCTGCCTCTTTCTCATCTTTCTCATCCTCTATCTCCTCAGTTTTATCTTCTTCAGCCTCTTCTTCAACCTCCTCTTCAGCCTCCTCCTCTTCCTCTTCATTCACCTCCTCCTGTTCTTCCTCAAACTCCTCCACAAACTCCTCTGTGTCACACATGGTGCTCTTTCTGAGTGTTTTGCGAAGAGGGGATCACTGAGGTATGACTGTACAGCTGGTGGTAAAGATCCTGAATGGACTGAGATGATCTCCATGGACGCCTGGTGGTTTTATAGGGGCCTCCCTCCCCATGTGACATTTACTAAGTGGCTGTTGGGTTAGTTTTTTTAACAGATGGACCTAGGATCTATTTTCTACCTTGTAGGGCCTTGTCTTGTCCTATACTCAGACCCTGACCTCTAACCTCTGACTCTGCCACCCTAAAACCTTTGTGGTGTGAGGAGCCTATTTCAGACTCAAAACAGATGCACCCTCACACTTGTGCATTGGTAGGGATCCTCTTTCACACCATGTTTGATTAGATTAACTAACTATTTAGGCATTGATTTAATTGGATAGCACCAATAGTTTCATTCTATCCATTGCTTCGAGTATAAACAATGTCTTTGTGTCATTTATGGGTTCACAGTACTCTCATTAATTCCATTTCTATTTCAGCATTCCAAAATGACGCAGAGAATTTTGTACCCCACCCCTGAGACAATGAATGGAACCCGATGATGGAAGACAGAGAGATAACAGACAAAGACAGACAAGTGTTTAGTGGCGTCTATACAACTATTTATGTATTAACATTTCAGCTGGCTGACTCTACCATTGGAATCCTATAGAACAACCGCCATTAATTTGGTTAAAAAAACACTGAGTCATGCCAATTTCCTATTTGATATGTAATGTGGGTGAAAAGCCTTTAAAATAAAGTGTGTGTGTGTGTATGTATGTATGCATGTATATATAATATATATATATATATATATATATATATATATTTTTTTTTTAGGATTGTGAAGGAATTTAAGTTTCTCTACAGGTCTAATTCTTCCAAGACAACCAGATAACACTGCGACATCAGTATGTCTCCACCTTATTAATGCTGGTTTTAGTGTTACATCATTGTGAACTCATAAAAAGTGCACTTATATGCACTTAAGTAGCTGTGTCTGTTTTACACATAATCAGTGTGACTTGCTCTTATGTCCTTTAGTAAATTCCTCCTTAATAATAGTCAGGATGAGCGATGAGTTATACCTCAAGAATGAAGGATAATTATGTCCCTCTTCCTCCCTTGTTTGTTTATAAATAGTCTTTATGGTCTCACTGTACCCATGTACTGAGGGGTGCAAGCATGTTTGTGAGTGACAGGTGGAGGTCTTATTTAAACCAGATTCCTGATTGGACAGATGAAGCAAGGGACAGCTGCATCTAACAATAGGGGTCCAGTGTTTGGGACGATTGACAGCATCCCCAAATAACCAATCATTTGGTAGCAATTTTTCCTCTGTAGTATATAGCCTACACAATCATCATCATCAAACTTGGTCCAAAGGAGGTCCAAAATCAGACAACGGACAAAATAAACAAACAAATAATAATACACAAAAAACTACAGTATCACATATTTAAAAATTAAAACGCCATTTATATTTTAAAAAGAAATAGATTAAAATTGTATGTATGTATCAGAAATATTTCTCGCTCTTTACTATACAAGTAATCGCTAGGCGTGTTTCCGTGATTTCACCAAGTAACGTACAACATGTTCCTGGATCAACCGTTTAACGTTACATCGACACTAAATTCCTTGTGTTTTGTACTTTTGTAACGTTACTTACGTTCTCTTGAGTGTACTAATTGTACTCGGAGATTAAAATGTATAATCCAGCATTAAATGCTTTTTGAATTTTCAAATAGATTATTCTAGAGAACGGGTTGGAAATGCAATCAGAAAGCAACAACTAAAAATGCTCATGCCATACACAGCATATTCTACTCCAACCTGCCACGAGAACTACTGGTCTTTTTCTTGATTATACGTTAGTTTAAAGACTTTTTAGATCTATTACATCATGTGCTCCTAAACAGACGATGAAGCATCCCTTCGATAGCTCAGTTGGTAGAGCGGAGGACTGTAGCGTAGCATCACTGTAATCCTTAGGTCGCTGGTTCGAATCCGGCTCGAAGGACAATTTTTATAACTGTTAAATCTGATGTAATATGATGTTATGATGTTTCACGTGGTCACGTGTGTATGACCGCTGTCGGGTTGTCTTAAAATAGGTGTGGTTTGTAATTAAAACACACATGATTTGCAGGAAGCATGGTGTGGCTGTGAGTCTGTCTGCAGTGAATCCATTAGCCCACAAACACTGAAAGAAACCCACATAAAGGACGAATATGACAGATTCTTATTTCTCTCTTTACTTTTATAATTCATTTTTCCAAAGTATCTTTTTGACTTTTTAATCACTTGAATTGCCGCTTCTGAATCCATTTGTCCTGTCTGCATTACCGTGATCTGAGTTTTTTGCTGCTTCAGCTGCTCGACAGATATGCTTTCACTAGCGTCAGCCCCGTTAAGCAGTCGTTCTTTCATTCGAGCGTCTGTTAAACTAAACACCAGTTTGTCTCTTATCATATCATTTTCACTTTGTCCAAACTCACAGTCTTTTGATTTTTGACGTAGCTCTGTAACAAATTTATCCACTGACGATCCATCGGCCATCTGGTGTGATCAACATTGATGTCGTTCAAACACAATATTTTTCTGTGGGCTGCAGTACTGTTTAAAAGCTTGCAGAATCTCTTGCATAGTACTGTATAAAAGCTTGCAGAATCTCTTGCATAGTATATGATTTTCCGTGTCTTCATAATCAATCGTGAGAGTGTTATAAACGTCCAGTGCCTCTTCACTTCACCCATGTGAAGCAAAATCGCTATTTTAACATTCTCATCCTTTTCATCAGACCCAGTTGCCGTCATATACAATGAAAATCTTTGCTCCCACCTCCGCCAATTCTCTGCAATATTGCCTGAAAGTATTAGAGGCGACGGCGGCTTAAATTGCTCCATCTAGCCCGTTTTTGTGCGGTTTATTCGTTTGCGCCGGGAATCCCTCATCCAGCACTTATTTACATCCTTATTGCACTGTTGAACTGCCACTTCTGACACCATGTCATATTATACTATACTATGATTCAAGAATATGCATCTGTTTTTACGGGGCTTGGTGCGTTTCCTGGTGTTTACCACATTCATGTTGATCCAAATATAACTCCAATAGTGAATGATTTGCAGGAAGCATGGTGTGGCTGTGAGTCTGTCTGCAGTGAATCCATTAGCCCACAAACACTGAAAGAAACCCACATAAAGGACGAAAATGACACTATAAGCCGTTAATAGTTTGCATTCTCAAACTGCAGTCTAACATGCAATGAGTCATGTTTTAGTAAGAAAGCATATAGATGTAAATAAAGCTTTTCATTACTTCAAAAGATTATATAAAGTGAACTAAAACGATTTTTCCTCAGTTAAAATAGATGGGTAGCCTACCTACCATTATGTTTAAAGTTTACCGGCCTACATCAAAATAGTAAGTGTCTTTAAGGCATTCTGAAATAATAAGTTTAATAAAGGCCTAATCATGAAAATTTGTTTTAACTGTATTATATTATATACGTTCCCACATGTGGAATTAATTTTGTTACCACAGGTGAAACTTTAACATTTGAGTAAGCAAATCGCACGAACAGCGACGTCGTGTGGACATAGACGGACTTTATGATTCTGTGACAAACAGATTTTTTTTTACCTCTTCTTTCATTTCACGAGGGAGAGTAATTTAGCGGACACTTTCAGTCAGATGATTCTTCTTTATGACAGAGAAAAGAGGTGGCTTTGCAGTTTAATTTATTATGTAATGAAATGGACTGTCACTTAATTACGCAACACGACAGATGTGCCTCGTGCGATCAACTGTTTATGGTTTATGCATGTGCAATTTTTTAACATGCAGGAAAAAATTATTTCATATCTGTCCACTCATTATCGTTCACGGACTGAGGTTACTAATACAAATAAATAAATAATTATATTGTAGACGTCACGTCTTACGTAGCGTGGGGGTGTGGCCAAACAATTCATCCATTTGAGTCACTGCTAATGTCCTTTTGTAGTGTAAACAAACATTTCTACCGTTTCGCTAAACTTTAATATTATGTTTTTTTGTCCTTGGGTTACTGACAATGTATCTGAACAGCTAACGTTTGCGCGTTCCACTCTGTCTTTGTGTTTTAGGTAAGCAGTCAATATTGTAATGTTTTTAAGTAGCATATTAAGTCTCATTGCTTAATACAGCCCTCAAAATTACTTTGACAAAATTGTTACAAAATTACTTACTTAATTCACCCTAAAAATAGTACCAGTGTCTTCGCATTACATAACAAAACCAAGGAGCATTTGTTGGAAAATAAATAGCATAAACAAACAAGTGTGTTAGAGTTTAGGTTGTAAATCAGTACATTGATTGCTTAACATTAAGTTTAAAACAGTGTTTGGACCATAATCAGTGTTTTGGATATTTTGTGATTGTCAGACGTTATAGTTAATGTGGTGAACTGTGATTAGACCTTTGCTTGAACTTGAGTAAAACTGTCTTTAAAAAATCCACTTAAAATAACGTTAACACCAGATAGTTACAGGTATTTGCAAAATAGTTAAAAGGGTTAGTTTTCAGAAAAGTTCATAAATATGGGGTTTAACGCTCAAATTTGATCTTACAATTTCATATATATATATATAAATTATTTATGCATTTCTTTTTATATTTCTATTAGTAAAAATATATATAATTTATTTATATATTTATTTGTTTATATACAGGTCATCAGCTATGCCGTTTAGTGGAATCGGCATTAGTCACCAAAAAAATTTCAGCAGACTGCGTGACAGAACAGCATCCCGTAAGTAAATGAGCGAGACAACATTTACATTTACTTTATTAAACAAGCACAATGTGAGAGGATGAGAAACACTGTGGTGAATTATAGTTTCATATAGTTTACAGCAATGGAGAGACACCCAGATAGAGAGGAGGAGTAAACGGGGACTGAGAAGGTGTACAAGACAGATGTCAATCTGAAAAGAGAGAGATCACATACATTTGTGGTAGAGGCAGAGAGAGAACGAGCAAGCAAAGAAGAAATCAAGAAAAACGCAGTGCAAGCAAGCAGCCCGAGGAGAGGCTTAGTAGTGTTACTACATGGACAGTCTACAAATGCTTTAAAATGTTTTCATAAAGAAGAGAGTAAAATTGATCCACAATAATTCTTTATATCAAAAATATATCAATGGGTCTATAACTACATGAAATAGAGAAAGCACATACAATATTAAATATTTACATTTTGTATGTGAGTATTTGTCAAATCCTTATATACACAAAAATGTAGTCCCAAACAGTTCAAACATGAACCCAACGTTGACAGAACATTGCAGCTGTGCAGATCACAGAGCCACAACGTAATTCCAATGTTGTCAGGATGTTGGTGACCACTTGGGTGAAGTCCCTGTGATAATGTACGGTCTGATTGTTTTGAAGTGCTATGTGTTGAT